ATGATGACGCCAAAACGCGCTAGTATGTGCTATCTGAAATACTTCCCTTTTCTTCAAAAGGGTCCTGCTTTGCTTGAAAAACATAATTCGGCATTGGTATCAAAAAACACATCGATAAAATCAATGTATTTGAGAAAGAGAAGTACGAAAATAGAATACTTGACAAAATAAATGTAAATAAATATGTAATGATAAAATAAGACGTAACTAAATAACGGAATGATTCAGATTGTATAAAATTTAATGTATTCTTTTTTTGTTAGATATTAAAAAATGAACTTGGAAAGTTTTTCTACATCTCAAGTACAACTCTTAATTATGATTTATGTGTTCTGGAATATAAATCACAATTAAATCGCACACATATATCATTATAAAATATGTCAAAGGTTATAATATTACTTTTACGAATTTTCTCAGAAGTGTAAATATATTGTATAAAAAATGGTAGAAAAAACGTTGGATACCATTGCCCGGTTAAAGTGACGAGTTAATGTCTATTACACACATTTATTGTGCATTTGTATAAATTCCATAATTTTTCGCGTTGCTATTTGTCTTACAACGTCGACTTTAGAATGCAGAGCTACATCTCTTCTTTTTTTTTTTTTTTTTTTTTTTTTTTAATATTTGTCGAGCGTTTTGCTCGATATATGATCTTTATCTATTTTTATAAAATCGTCGAAACAGTCTTTTTCTATATATTTTCTTCGAAGTCGTTTTCTCCTTTTTCTTCTCTCTTCGTTTTCTTTTTTTTTGTTTATCTTCACATCATTCTCTGTTTTGTGGTAGAAAATTATAAACGTCAGAATACGCGGAATAGTAGTATACAATACACAAAGAATGAAAAGCGGATATCAAAACTTTGGTCTCGATCGTCAATCGATCAACAGGTCAATCAATTTCTAAATTTCGATTGCCGTGCTCACTGGAGCACTCTTCTTTCTCGTAGTGTTGGTTTCACAGTTCGTATAAAAAGATTGCATTTTATAATATATTCTGCATATGACAAAAATAAATTTATAATTCTTTGTCTCGATATTTATTAAAAAGTTCGTAACTCTATTTTGTTCTCTCTCTCTCTCTCTCTCTCTCTCTCTCTCTCTCTCTCTCTCTCTCTCTCTTTCTCCCTTTCCAGAGAAATTATTGTATCTTGCGACAAATTTTGAAACGCACATTATTGGTAATGTAATAATGAATACTTTTCAGCTACGTACACAGGCGACACTGTAACACAGTATCCACTAGTGTGAGAAAAAGCATATCAGTGTGTCTCACTCACACTAGTGGACACTGTGTTACACAGTAATACCTGTATACATAATTGGAAAGCACCCAATGTATTACGAACACATCAATATCTTAACGTTTAATATCGCACTGAATTGACTTTGGATGAGATTCAACTATCTATTAAATATCTGCGTGTCGATTAATATCTCTGACAGGCGCGCCATTGATGTTTACACGCGTGTCCCGCGCGGATCTTGCAGCAAAGAGCACGATTTAGTATCAAAATTCATAGAACCATTAGAAACAATGACATCACTTATTATATTCTTCTCTTTTATTTCTGTAGACACGCTCGGAGAGCATAAAGTGTTACAAAATCGCGAGGTCGGAAAAACACACGCGAGATTAAACGAAGAAACGCGACGCTCGTATACGATTGTTTAGTTTAAACGCATTTACTAAAACGTTTTAAAACCGCGTTTGAGGTAAAATTCTAGAATGTTGAGTTCGTAAATTAAAACTTCGGGAACTAAATAAATAAAAGATTATTTACATACTACGAGCAACAAGGATGCCGACAAGATCGATCGACTTCGAGACCGCAACGTGACACTTTCAAATGGTCCAAAATCTCGTCTAAAGATCACGCCAAAAGTATCAATAGTACGTGGCGTGTACTAAAAAATCACGCTGTGTCATATCACGAGCGCAACGGATCTGCTAACCAGTCCGAGCGAGCGATAAGCTCGAAGGTTTTCTCTTCTCTCTTATTCTATAAACTTGAGAGAAATGTCAGTCAGTTTTCACTCAAAATATGCAATCTCACGAATTCTGTATTTAATTTGCGACACACACTCATCCGTCGTCCGAGATGGAAATAATTTTATGTTATTATTTTGCTGTGTGTTTTGTAATGTCACTTTTTATAATATCTGTAGATGCGGAATTAAATAATTGTCGTTAATTTTTTTTGCTATTTACTGTGGTTCAAGTAAAATAAATGTAAAAAAGAAACTGAAGATAAAAAGATAATACAAAAAAAAAAAAACGATAATTTATCATGATATTGTTTTTGTTGACAATGTGTATGTATTTAAAACTTGCTTCGTGTACTTCAAAATAAGAAATATATATATTTTTTTGGATATCTTAGAACTAAAATGTACAAGATCGTATAAAGTAAAAACTGCACTAAGTATAAGAATAATAAATTAAAGTTTTGTAAAATTCTCTGTGGTCTTCCCTAAATTTTAAAAATACAATTACTTAATAAAAAAAACTAAACGACTCGCGGTATATAATAATAATAATAATAATAATAATAATATACTAATCGATTATGTATATAATATATATGTATATATACATATATATGTAAATATATAAATTGTCGGTTTGTTCTAAAAATAAAAATATATATTTTTTTTTCTATAAAAAAAACGTCACGCAATATAATCTAAAAATACTGTACACAATTGCATTAGGAAATGAAAATTTGCCCTCACACTAGCATTTTCATTTCCGAATAATCGCGGATGATTCGGATGCGTTTCTCTGTGTTCAATTCTCGTTCGAGAACACCACTACGCAAAATAAAGTGAGTTAGTATAGAACAATTTTTAAAATAATCCTCTTAATAACAATCGTCCTCTTTGATAAATTCAATCGATCTTATTGTGAAAATAAATAAACAAAATTAACAATTAGAAGTCAAAATACGAAAAAATCATAAAAAATTATTTATAGGTTAAAAAACTATTTATAAATTAAAAAACCAAAGATTAGCATGACCTCTATAAGTGATCTTCACACATTTTCAGTTTTATATTAATTTGTAGTTTGAGACAAATTATTGTAATTTTATATGTAAACTTTATATAAATGTATAAAAAAATAAAAACAATTTGCCATTTTAGATTTTTCCTATATCTCCCAAAAAAGAAATTATTTTATGTGAACGTTCAGAGACCTGCTTCTTGACTAAACTAGATTATTGTCGAGAAAAATGTCATAATTATTATGTTTTAGAAATACAAAAAAAAAGAGATAAATATTTCAAGGAATTCCATGGCAATGACCTATTTTATCAAGGAGCAGGTCTCTGAACGTTCACATCTATTGCAATCGAGAACGATTGCGGATTGGTATCCGACATGATTTTTTTTCAAACGAGTTGTTGTTCCGTCGCGTTTTCTCTGTTAATCAACTGTCGTAACATCATTTTAAGAAATAGAGAACAGGGATATATTTTATATTTATAATATGTATACGGCAAAATTTTTAAATATGCCACCTTATAACCATCAAATAACGTCAATACATTTCTCTTTTGCTCTATCTTTTTTTTTTCTCTCTCTCTCTCTTTCTCTCATTTGGTCTAGTTATACTTTTGCATGCTTTCCCGTGTGTATGCTATTTCGCAATTTGCAACTCTCGCACGTGTTTCATGGAGCTCGACATACAATGTCTCGCTGTGATTTGCTAATTATACCTATAGTAATTATATCATTAGCAATAGTAATGGCTTTCCGTTTATCGTCCGAGTCTGAACAACCGCGGATAGCGTTCTAGGACAAAATGTCGACTATAAAGGCGGAAGTTCATCATTTACTATGCGTCCGAGAGCTCGCATCTTATTACGTTTAGTCTTAAATAAAACCGTCATAAATAATTATTATTGCTACTGAGAGAAAATATTCTTTTATTCGTGACCAATCCCTGTATATATGTTAGCGTCAAAACCCGAAGTCCGGGCAGTTTTAAGATTGACTGGTCAATACACGAAAAAAAGGTTAGGGTTAGATTAGGGTTAGGTTAGATTTTTCGGGCATTGACCAGTCAATCCTAAAACTGCTCGGACTTCGGGTTTTGACGCTAACATATACATTTAAAGCATTTAAAACTTAATAAAAATTTTATGTACAAAACTTGAGTTTCTCATTATATATTAATAGAATGAAACTAAATCCACGATAATTAATAAGATGCGAGAACTCGCGTGTAAAATAAGACAAGAATACGCTTTTTCCGGTTTGACACGCGCACACTTTTACACATGCGCGCACGCAAAACTTACACACTTTGACTAAAAGTATATATTCCCTAAAGTCATACAAGTTGCAACACTGCAGCAGCTCAATAATAAGTCAGCATCCTTGTGCCACACCCACAGCCTCAGAAGTTTACATATAATCATACATGCTAAATTCTACGCCAATGTGTCGCTGATGTGTGTATTAATGCATATATATATATATATATAAAATAAATATATACAGGGTGTCCGACAATCACTTTAACATCTCTCGTAGGCAGGTAGGAGTAAAACTGAGTCGAAAAGTCCGGAACCATTTTTTTTTATTACATATAATAAAGGAGTAATTATTGAATAAATCAGGCCAATCAGCGCCGACCTTTAGCCGAACGCATGTCAGTGAACCACGGGTTTGGTGTGTGTGAGCGCTCCGCGCGGCTCACTGACGTGCGCTCGGCTAAAGGTCAGTGCTGATTGATTTATTCAATAATTACTCCTTTATTATATGTAATAGGAAAAAATGGTGTTCAGGATTTTTTGACTCAGTTTTATTCCTTCTACCTGCCTACGAGAGATTTTAAAGTAATTGTCAGACACCCTGTATATATATATATATATATATATATATATATATATATGTATTTATTATATAGTGTTATTATATATATATATATATATATATATATATTTATTTATTTATTATATATATATATAATTTCATGGTTTATTTATATATATAAATTTTTATATTTATAATACACGCGCACGCGCGCGACAATTGGTGGGCGTCCAAATATTACAAAGAAGCAAGTGCAAATGCAATCTCTCTTATCATACTATATAATAGGGATTAAATATTTATCTCAATTAACTTTTATGCGATTTACACTAACAGAGGTATATACATACAGCTTTGTCTTTTGTTTTCTTTTTTTGTTTCAATCAAATACCATTCTCCTTCGTTACGTCGCTTGGGCAAACTAAAACTTTTGTCAAACAATCATAACAGTTTGTCTTATAAATTACAATTAATCGTCGAGTTACAACTGTAATAATCGAATGTGTATCTATTATAATCTTGCGCTTTATTGTTTAAATACAATTCTAAGGAATATTATTTTACGTCTTCGTGTAAACTATCGAGCTGCATAAAAAATTACGCGGATGATTTCTCCGCGCGCGTTGACGCCTCTTTGCTTTCACTTATTTATAATACTCACACAGAGACACGTCTAATTATTCTTAGCGCAGTACGTCGCGATGATCTCGGGTGTATACGCTTGATGTCAACCGCTGATATTGCCTTAAAATATACGTTTAAGATCATAACGGTGTATGTATAACGTGTAGAAATGTATGCGATCTTGTGTAATACATATTTTATATTACGCGGTGTGTACATATTTAATTTAGAATTGTGCAATGAAGATATTAGAGCCATTAGTGCGACTACTGCTGCGGATGTGGTTAGCTGCGACGTATGCTCTCTCTCTCTGTCTCTGTCTCTCTCTCTCTCTCTTTCTTTCTATCTCTCTCTCATTGTTTCTCGCTGCTTATTTATCGAGTATAATGAGATTGCAAGTGCATTTTCGCGTTATGCCAGATTCGCTCGATGATCCCCGTCTTTTTCTCAAATAATTCTTATTTTCTAAGTTCTCGGACTCCGATAAATGCGTCAGGGTTTCTTTTCAAGGTCGCGGCTTTTTCTTTCACAGTTCAAGTATATTTAATCGGAGCGTAACCAAAGACGTTTTCGATTTATTTTGCTCGTGCACAGAGCCTTTGATCTCAACCTTTTTTCTCTTTTCCCCGACTATTTCGAGCTTGTTCCGTTTATAACGCGTCGTTTCAACATATGGGAAATCGAAGAAAAAAGAGCTCTTTGCATCTTTGCAACCGAGACAAGACAATTCCTTGCAATTGGAATCGAGTTTTCCATAAAAACTCGCCCTCGTTCTTTTTTCATTCGACAACTTGATCGCTCTCTCTCTCTCTCTCTCTCTCTCTCTCGCGCGCGTTTTTCCCATAAACTTTATCTGTATTATACTTATATTACATCTTCAATTCTTCACCGGAAATAAATGTACAGTTCCTCTCATTCCCGCGTTTTAACTTAGTTCAATAAAACTCTAAGCTCAGTCTAATTCAGGAGCGCTGCCTTGTCGTTACTATCCCAAATTCGGATTCAGCTGCCATTTTTTGTTTTAAATTCTTCTTAATGGAGATTCATAACATGGACGTTTCTGTTTCTGTACACCTTGCAAAGCGTAATTATTTCGCTTCCTTTTCCTCTTTAAAAGCTAGCTCGCGTAACTCTTCTAAACATTTGATATTATTTTTGCGCGAACAAATGCACGTAATCGAACTATATCAACGATTCACACCATTTTTTATATTCCGTAATATAAGTTACTACGATCTCTCATATAGTTTCCTTACTTTAACACCCTGCAAATAAACGTTCCTCTAAACTTGCCAATTCCCTTAATCGTTTGACTAACTTAGCCATGAAGTTTCTTCGCAAAAAAACGTAAACGAGCAGCCGTTTCTTAGTATCAAACTTTCTTCGCAGAGTCCAAAATAAACGTTTCTTAATTCCCAAAAATCCACAACAGGAAAGTCGCTCTGCATTCGGGAAGGTCAACGTAGATTTCTTAAAAAATTGGACGATCTTCCACATCTACACAATAATATAGTTAGAGACTGCAACTCGGGGACAAGCTCAAGGTTTCCAGTGAGGATCTAGTATTCTCGTGTAATCACGTTACACCCAGGAGTCGCCAGCGGCGGCGACAGTCGCGCTCGGGGGCACCTGATTGGCCACCGTCGTGACTGCCGTCCCCGTGCCGTCCGGCACTAATCCGACACCATCGGATATCCACTGATTGCTACCGCCTCCACCATTACCGCCGCCGCCGGGCCCAGTCACTCCGCCACCAACGGGTATCGTGACGCCGCTGCCGACTTGACCAATCACTTGGCCGCCGCCGCCGCCACCACCACCCTGGCCCACCCCCAGCTCGTACTGTCGCTTCTTTTTCTTCTCCAAATTAACTTGCGCGTAGAGCGGCTCACCGGGTTTCGGCTGCTGCAACACACACACAGAAGCCAACGGTTAGCCAAGTGCCTGCTGCCGCTGCTCGCGCGCTTCTCCTTGCGAGAGTGGGCGGGCGAGGGTGGGAGGGAGAACCGCGCGGCGCCACGACCCTTCAGATGCTGAAAGAAGCTTAGATACTTTGCGGGAGATTTAAACAAAAAATTGGATTTAAACAAAAAAATACAATGCATTCTCTCTCGATTATCGTTCTTTGTTGCGTGAAAACTAAAAGTCATGAATATGTAAATAATAACAAGATAAGAAAAAATCGAGAATACATTGAAAAATCTACGCGAGGACGTGATATGTTTGGCCTTTATTTAGTCAAAGTTATATATATATATATTTGTATATATATATATATATATATATATGTGTGTGTGTGTGTGTGTATGTGTGTGTGTTTTTGCATTTTTATTACACTGCGCTTTAAAATATTCGGCTACAAATACAAAATATAACTATCCGTTATGTAAATAATAAGAAGTCGAGATACATATGGTACAAAGATGTACGCGTGAAAATCGTATGTGTTGTTAGTCTCTCTATATGTTTCTCCACTTTTGTGTAATATAAATAAAATTGTACATAATAATATTATGTTATTTTTGTTACACACTAAAAAAATGTGTAAAGTTAAAAAATATAAACATAAATATTATACATAGGATTGATAACGGAAATAAACGAAATCATGTCGTAATTTGGTAAATTTTTAATATTTATAATAGATAATATTTTAGAGTAGCATGTTTATACAGTGTATAGACGAAAATTAAACCTGATTTTTCTAAACTTGATATCATTCTATATATAATAGTAGCAAAATAAAAACTCTATGTAAAAAATATTTTCAAACATAACATAAAAGACACACAAATTCAGAAATCAAAAGTTAAAAATAAATAAATTCATTCCCAATTAATTTTGTCTAAACTTTGTATATACAAAAATCTGACACAACAAAGATTATTAACACTATAATAATTTAGCTTCAAACGAGATGTGTGTGTTTTGTACAATTTTCTCACTCTCGCAGTTAAAAAAAACTAAATAATATATTATCTCTTTCATGAAAAATCAAATTTACTTTTTAGCTCGACATATAAATGTCTGTATTTCATAGTTTGACAATCTCATTTTCTTAAGTATAAGTTAAACTAATTACTGTCGGCACAGACGTGTGTGTTTGTAGGCAGTGATTTTGTCAGTCGTAACTTCTTAGTTTACGTGTTCGCCCCGAAGATAGAAGTGAAAAGTACAAAACGACACAGATAATGCGAATATTCTTTTTTTTAAATCTAAAAATCTTTATAACAGTAACATAGCGCAGTGCGTTTCTCAGAGTATAATGCGAGGAAATTGTTTATCTTCGTAATTAAAGTAATTGGCGGTTTGGAAAACTGGTATGAAAACTGTGCAAAAAGTGTCTCGTAATGTGGAAAGTGGCTACGCAGCGTTATTAAAAAGAGAAAGTTGGTCCAGAGAGAGTCCGTGCAGTAATATAAACATTTAAATTCTCAATATAGCTCTCGTAGTCTAAAGACGTAGACTAAATGTCAAATACATTTTACACGTATAGCGATTAATTTCAATGTTTACTTGAATGTGTATAGCACGATGTTTTTATTAAAAAAAAAAAAAAAAAAAAAACAGCTTTTTAGTGCGTGCAGCACAAGTTTTGTTTCTGGTATTTAATTAAAGAAAAGATAAGTAATAAAAATAAAATTCATGTAAAATAAAATATAGTGAACTCGAAAAAACTCGAGAAGACAGTAATTGCCGTATTGTAAATTGTTCAACTAAAAATATCTATACGATGCTTTGTGATGCAAAGTACAAATGTTTGATTAAAAAATAATGGAGTGATACTTTGTTTGGCACAATTATTTGTTCCAAATTTATCAATTGTTCTAGATAAATAGTTGTATCGTAAACATTCTCTTTAGGAGTCTAAGATGAAACGATATGTAAGATAATTGAAGAAAACTAAAATACATTTATATATATAATAGTTTAAATTTGTTCAAGTCCGCAAAATTACAAAAAAAACTGTAAATAAAGAAACTAAACACGTTTTGCTCATGACTTTCGAAAATGCACTCATTTTTTAATTGTATCTGAATACTTAACGAAGATTTCTCCTTAAAAATATCGGCGTTACTTTTAATTAAACATATAATGTGTGTATGTGTGTGTGTGTAACTTTTCTCATCTAAATTTTTTATTCGACAATCTATAAAGATGTATCTACTTATCGGGTATTTATTTTAGTGATGCTGTTGGTTGTTGTTACTTACTGATTGATATATAGTAGGTCGACCGACATTATTCGAATTCATGTTCGCACGTTGGATCGTTCGATCCTCATATCTCGTGCTCCCTTGACTTGCCATTGGTCGATTTAAAGTACTGCAATCGTAACTACATTTTAACGTAGAATCGAAAATCCTTAAAAGAAGTTTCGAGGACTCCGCGTGAAAAAATCTACGAAATAAATCTTGTGTAACAGTAGAACAAATAAATCATAAACAAAAAATAAACGGAGTCCCAAAGAAATCAAACTATTAACTGAACACAATAAATACGCACTTAAAAAGAAAAAACTGTAGTTTTAATGTAACGCAAAATTGTCATAATAATTGAATATGAATAAAGTCAATTTATCAAGAACTACCTATTGGCGTTGTTGGGTGAATTAGGCCCTGAATTTCTGGCAGCTACGGTTTTCGTAACAAAGTCTTGCTCCTTCCAACCGTGCTTTTTGTATACATCTCTTAGTTCTTGATGTTGCCACATGGTGTATAACACTTGACCTAAAAATACACGTAATAAAAGAAATGTAAATAAAAGAAATGTTTATGCATTTTTGAATAATTGTTCTGTTTTAAGTTTTTAACTATTTACCTGCAAATTTAAGCACACGAGGCGTGTATTTTTGGCGTTGTCTAGTAATATTCATTAATCTGTCGACGCCGCCGGCATCTAGTAATGACCGTGAGAATTCGGCGTTCTTCTTAATGACTTCGTTGAGGGTAGCGAGCACTGCGGCGATCGTATCATCGCTCGTTGCCTGATCGTGTTGATTATTTCCAGATGGTAGCTTCTGAATAAGATCCCTCATCGCATACTTGCCTATTAATTCTTTATTGCGCTGGTCTATCGCCAAATTTCTTAGCGCAGTCGCCACCGCGCAAACCACTCGATCCACCTAAAAATAAATTAATAAGTATTTTGCTTATATTACAAAATTTAGTAAGTAACTTCGCTTATATTACAGTGTTATTAATATGTACGTATATTAAGTTCTATATATAATATTAGTGATTTAGCTTAGTATTAGTTTTCTTATTTTAATATTTGGTATAAAAATAATATAACTATAAAATATAAAATAGAAAAATACATAAGCAATATATAACTAAATATAAAGTAATATATTGTATAACTAAAATATAAAGTATGGAAGTAAATAAATAAATAATAAATAATCAAAATAAGGTTTCATTAGTATCTAATTAAGAGAGAATTAAAACCTTTAAAAGCTTTAAAAGTATTTTGCATGTCTATCTAACGCATAGCGCTCTTAAAGGCTTTATTATTTCTCTTAGTTAAATAAAATAAAAAATGTGGTTAATAACATACTTGAATCTTTTGAGTTTGTACCTCCATTCTTAAGAGTTCTACTAATATAGGGAGGCCCTTCTCTTTACGAACGGCCGCGCGAATCTCGATACTCGGCTGCCAGTAACAGGCAGCGAGATTCTGCAGCGCACCAGCGGCGGCTTCCAGTGTCTCTGGATTCGAACAAGACTGTAAAAGACTAAGATATGACTGAACCACCTCCGGTTGCCAGAGCAGTTCCATTCCTCTAATTGGCTCGGTTCGTGGACTCGTCATACGCGACGTAGTGTTTTCCTTCTGGACCGGTTGACCGTCCTTCTTCTTTTTACTGCCGCCGAAACAACCCAGATTCTCGCCTGCAGCAAAGCAAAACAATAAAATTAAATACTATAGAATCATATGAGAAAAAGACACAAAGTATAAAATCAAGGTAATCAATTTCATTGATCGGTCAGATTTTATTTTAGAGGCCGTTTGAATTTTTCAGAAAGAAGTTGAATTAATGAAAATATCAGATTTCTCTTACCGCAAAATTGTAACTATTTTCAAGCAATATCGAGCGATATCGAGAAAATTTTCAATCGTGTTCTTATGTTCCTCAAGCAACCTATTACATTTCTAGATGTTGTATCTAACTTGCTAAATTAACTAAGTATGTAAAAAAAAGTCAAAACAAAATTGTAAAGTATCTGTTACACTTTGCAGCAAGCTTTTAACTTCACTTTCGTTATCTTTCATTTTTGAACGTAAAATAAACAGTGTATACAGAAACATAAATAATTGCTTTAAAATACAGAGGAAGATTAAATATAATTTGAAATAAAAAATTTTAAAAATAGGAAAAACAAACTCACGATCAGCTTATGACTTGGCAAAGCAAAGCATGCAGCAACTAATTCGCTCGATGGAGTTTATCAATGGAAAAAAGGGGGCTTACCTTGACATAAACTGTATGCTAAAAAGATCGAAACACAGTTTAATTCATGCTGAACTAGGATTCGCAAAAAATTGATATAGAAGTAAACTGAAGTAAAAAAAAAGATCAAAACCCTTTTATTCTCTAAAAAAACTAAATAAAATCAAAAGTTATAACTAATTTAAAGAAAAGAAAAAAGTACAAAGAGACACAGAATCGATTTTGTCTATGTTTATTTCTGGACACACTGTATAAGTTTGTTGTAGAAATGCAAATTAATCGACAGAAAAAAAAAAAAGAAAGAGAGAGAAAGAGATAAATTGATTTAAAAAATAATTATAGAAACAATATCTTTGTAAACAGAGGAAAATTCTCCACTACATGTTAATTCTGATTCCACCTAATTCGATTACGTTTCGCCATCATATTTTCTAAGTTCTATTTTTGAAGTGATAAAAATTTTAAGTTTTGTGCTACCTCACACTAAATTAGTCCATAAGTTTTAATAAAATTTAACACGCTACATAAACTAGCTATCTACAACTACCAGCTATACCAGAAATATCAGCAACTGCGTGACATACGAGTAATAGAATTAGTTATTAATTCGCGAGAATGATCAAAGCTAACGTAATTATTTAAATTGTAAACTGGTGAACTGTTTCAGAAACTCGCGCATAGTGCATTCAAATGGACGTTACACGACAAACTGCAGTTTAAAACATTCAAAATATTACGCATGCAATGATTTTAAACGAACTTTCGACAAATTAGTTTATATAAATTTAACGTGGGACAATTTAATTGTGTTTTAAAACTATGTATTTTACATGACAGTCACCGCACACAATAGCTGCACAAAAGTGCCTGCAGCAGGGAAGCTGCGTGTCTCCCGTTATCTAATTTCATGGTTGGTTTAAGAGGTGAATCATTTACTTCTTCTTCATTCGTCCCTCCCAATCTTTATACACATACACAAATCTCACATGCATACTAAGAGACTCGAAAAAAAAAAGATTTTACGTGCTACAAAAAGATAGCACTCTTTCGCGCGAATGCGACACTCGAGATTTTTTTCTCTAGAATTTATTTCACTTCTTGTTTACACTTTTACGGCGGGACATTTCGGGCAATAACTTTCCGCGTTATCCGAAGATATGTTTCGTGGTCGTTCACACTGATCTTTGTACAAAAACATTATTTATATAGAAACTAATAAAATATCGTTCACGCATACGTGATACCAAAATCACACATACGTGATGCCCGCCAATAACCGCTGGCAGCCAAAAATCACGTATACGTAACACCCGCTGTAAAAGTGTTAAGATGTTCACATATTGTATGCACGCAAGTCTCATCCGTCAATTTGCACGTATCGGTCACTTTGTTTTGCAATACAAAATATTAAACTGCGCTTTACCGCTCTTTTTTGCAGGAAATCGACAAATTCAATTTAATTTTAAATAGCCGTGCAATTTAATAAACTTTTATTTAAAGATATAAAGCCGGGGAATCTGCATTTCCCAGTTTTTCTAAATTTGCAAAGTCTGAATTAAACAAAATAAAATTAAAGTTAAAATACGTGTGTGAAGCTAGTTACTGTTACATATATTTCGCTTAGAGATTAAATTTGATTTAACTTCTATAAAATAAAAACCTGTGTAAATTCAGATTAAAAATGTACAGATTACAGAAAATCGAGTTTAGATTCATTTTCTTCCGTTTCTCTTTCCAAACAATAGAGATTTAGACCGCATAAATCCACATATTGAAAATTCGCGCGTGTGCCCGAAGATACACAAATTCTCTTCTTCGTTCCATTTGGTCTCACCTTTCGCGGGTGCAGCTACTCTGTTTTGCACCGTGGACTGGATCGGATGTTTATCGTAATTGGGATCCTCTACCTCCTGACAACGATAGCTCAGGTTTCTCAGGATGCACACACAATTCTCAACAATCTTGTTGCCGATGTTGGACTTCTCAATCGCCGAACGCACCACGTAAAGCAGCGCGTCCACAAGACCCTCGCATTCGCGTAAGTTCTTTCGCGCGTACTCGCCTGCGCTAGAAACATTCCTCAGCACGCCGGACGCGTTTCGGAAGACCGTAGACCAACACGTCTCTCCGTTCGACGAGCTCGGGTCCCAGCCGCTGTGAGGTATTATTATGTTGTTTACCACCATCGTTACGCCGTCATCGATGATCGACCTCTTCAAATCCTAAAATTGCAAAACTTACATAGTATCCGCGGCTTGAAAGTGAAATTAAATTAAATTCATTTAAATATAGAACGTACTTCACACGAGGACAAGTTCCATAGTACCCCTGTAACCAGCTCTTTGACATCCGCGTCCGATGTTCTTCGCAGCAGACTAATGAGAGCCGGTACTCCGCCGGCGTTTTTGATCGCGCGTTTGTTCTCATCGTTCTGCCGGCCGTAAGACAGATTCCGAAGTGCACCGCACGCGTTTCTGTACACGTCTGGATTGTCGTGTTCCAGCAGCTGCACCAACGGCGGTATGCCGCCAAGACTGCGTGTCTTCTGTTTGTTCGGATCATCCATGTAGCAGAGGTGCTGCAAGTAGGCGGCCGCGTTTGCCTTGATGACGTTGCTGGGATTGCTGAGGAAGCCGATTACTTCGGATAGGTTTGGATCCCGCCAGCGCATGGATTTCTGATCGTCATCGAGAGGACTTGCCATACCAGGCACTACTGGGTGACGCGACTGAAGTCGTTGCAAATGCACCTCGTCCTCAAAGATGCCAGGTGGCACACCTGATGTCAGCTGTACACCCGAATGACCCTCCTCGTAACCAGGCACATCGCTTGGCACAGGCCCAACACCCACGGCAGGCCCGTATCCTACAGGTCCGTATGGCGATGGCGACACGTATCCGTAGGCTACTTTGCTTTCATCTGAAACGTTGAAGAAAACATGCATCATTGTCCACGTCTGTTTTTGCTTTAATCAATTTATCGGTTTAATACGTTTGTGTCATCGACAGACTGAACTTGAAGAAGGGCATAATTCATTTATCACATTATTCATTAACAGTTTAACATTAATTATCACTTATTCACATTAACAGTTCTTACGTTATCTCTGTGATAATTGTTTATCTATGTTTAGAATGTGATAAGATTAACAAGAAGAAAGATTAAAATATAGCTGCTATAGAAATATAGACGTAACATTATCTCTTAATAATATTATGTTGCTAACAATATGTTGCGCCGGTCCAAAACCAGGCCCAAAAAACATATAGACATTTGAAAAACAAAAAACAATAATAATCAAAAACAATGTTGAAAACACACGCACAGATAATTTTTGATATTTGATATTTAATTATATTTTTTTTTCTTAATTAATTAATTATAATTTTCATGTGTAATAATTAGTATATTTGCATTTTTAGTTACATTATTGATACATTGATATTTAGATACTTGAAAAACCGTTGTTCAAAATGGAATATGGATAGTTGTCAAAGTGAATTCACAGTTCTTCGAGAAGGAAAGTCAGTGATTAAATTTGTCTTTACTATGAAAGACTTAAAGAAAGACTTAAAGTCTTTCAATGAAAGACTTAAATAGAATTGCAAGAAAGAAAGTTAGAGCGAGATAGACAAGTTATAGATTTTCGACCCTACCATGAGGATGCTGAGAGGGTTCACCAGAGTCATCCATATTCCACGTGTTGCTGATTCGATCTAGAGTAAACATAAAATAACAAGCAGCGTCAGACTCTGCGAGAGATAGTTAAAGTGAATTATGTGGTATTCTGTGCAAACCGTCAACAACGGCGGTTGGTATTTTCGTCATTTACACGACTACACGCAATCTAATCGCGATCGTAAAAACATCGGAGAGTGTAAAATTGTTAAAATCGAATTCGTTTCCGGTTCCTTCAAGAAATGCAAGTGAAGGACAAACGAAAGAAAACGGGCACTTGTTGGAATTTGTTTCTACATACCGTACTGATCTCCAGGACCACCTGGGCTCGGAGTAATGCGATAATGGTCTTGCAAAGCGGGATTTAAGCTGGGGTCAATGTCGTTATAGCTACCTTCCACATAAGGCGCGCCCTTGCGCATGTACTCTACAAAAGAGAGGAATCACTGTGTGTTTATTAAATTATTTTTCAAAAATGTTAAAATATTATTCCAATAATGATCGTAAAGAAATATTTCAAACTTTCTCTTTCTCTCCTTTGCTCTTTCTCATCTTACAAAAACTGAATTCTAAGTAATTTTATATGATTTTAAATGTGCGCACGCACGCACGGGCGCACGCACACGAATAAGCATATCCTCTGTAACTCATTTGCAAATAACTAAAAAAATGTTTTTTTATATAATTTATTCAATTAAATCGTTATTTTTTGTGTGTAAACATACGCGAAAAAAAGTTGCATGAATTAAAATTTCGCTCTAAAAAATATTCTTACGCTTTATATAACTTACATTATAAATATACAAAAAAACTCGCAACACACAAATAATTACTGAAATAACATAATTTATTAAAAAGTATAAAAGAAGAGGTCAAATTCGAGCACAAAGTAACGGATGTTTTAATTTAAAAGATACATAAATTTAATTAAACAAAGCGTAAATCTAATTAAGCAAAGCGCAAAAACGTAATATTTCGACTCTTACTTGGGTCTTCTTCAGACGTAAATTAACATATGTAAAAAACAAAAAGATCAAATGAATGTCCGAATATATATAGTCGGTGCAATTTAAAAATTATAGTGGTCATCTTCGGTACGTATGTAAAATATGGTTATCTTGTGGATGACAGTTTTGTAACTCGCAGTCAAATGCATTTTGACAAAACTGCCATCCACAAGGTAACCGTATTTTACATACGTACCGAAGATAACCACTATAATTTTTAAATTGCACCGACTATATATATTCGGACATTCATTTGATCTTTTTGTTTTTTACATATGTTAATTTACGTCTGAAGAAGACCCAAGTAAGACTCGAAATATTACGTTTTTGCGCTTTGCTTAATTAGATTTACGCTTTGTTTAATTAAATTTATGTATCTTTTAAATTAAAACATCCGTTATTTTGTGCACAAATTTGACCACTTTTTTTATACTTTTTATATTTACAACACGAGCGTTATTTAATTAATTACTTTATAATTTATCGAATAATAAAGTCGTAACATGTTCTGCAAAAACATTGTATATAATTATTAAGGTTTATCATATTTTCAGCTTGAATTATGATTTACGGATACTTGAAGAGTTACAATTAACAATAGCGTAATTATGAGATTAACAACATGCTATTAAAAATTACGAAACTAACACTTTCGTGTAAATATAGGATAACTCCGGGATTCGAGCCGCGTCGAGTTTTATGCCACATAGGTCAGGAAAAATAAGAGTGAAAATAATTTGTACATGTAGAAGGGTAATAGAAAATGAAATATAATAAATTACACCCACATAGCTCTTATAGTCTTTATTTAGTTAGCTGTCTTATATATCCTAACAGTTAGTGATATTTGGCAATAAACGTTTACCGTGTGGAATATGTCCCGTTACTGCAGGGCAGTATTCGGAAACACCACTCGTGTGCACAAGATCGTCATTTTATCTTTATTTTATATCTAATGAGCAAGTGCATGTCCATTAAGGTAGCCCCCTCTTTAGAAAATCACTATCAAATTTATATAAAAATTAAGTCCTAATTAGGTGTTAATTAGGTGCCCAATTAAAAAATTTGGTGCTCCAGTCGTTTGACAGAAAATTAAAATTAAAGTGGGGGGGGGGCTGAGTTAACGTTAAGCTGGCCCTCCCCATATTAAAAACTTATATTTTCAGTAACAAATTCTACATCAAAATTAGGTGCTATTTAAGTGCTAAATAGGTGCCTAATTAAAAACTTTTATGCACAAGTCGTTTGGCAAAAAATTGACATTAAAGTGGGGGGGCTGACTTAACGTCAAGATGCCCCTCCCCAAATTAAAAAATTATATTTTTGGTTAAAAAATCTTCCAAACCTCAACATTCTAATTAAGTGCTTTCACAATATGCAACACTTACTACAGAAATATAACAATTAGTACTTTTTCATACTACTTATTCGCGACTTTCAAAGTCGTGAGATTAAAGTCGATATCTACACAAATCGCGTTTGAAAGCCTACTTTGCGACTTTTATCTGAACAACATAACACACAACACGTCGTTTGAAGTTCATTCCGTTCAAACATCTAATTATTTTACCAAAAATTATTCTTGTCTATGATCTTAGTCATTGAGCGATACAAGCTACACAAAATCCGCGTACTAGTTAAAATCATTAGATGCTCGAACGAAATATACGTCAACGAACTTGTTGTGTGTTCCATTATTAAAATATACAAGTTTCCAATTAGAAGACAGACAGTTTATTACTTTACAATCAGCTTTAAATTCGCGAATCTAAGAGTCGCCAATACGTGCTATTTGCAAAAACTTATTATATGTTATATTTCTGTATTAAGTATAGCATATTGTAAAAGCACTTTATTCTCTGCATTCGAATACTACAACGTATGACGAATGTTTTAACGCTAACACCGATTGAGCACCTAATTTTTTTAACCACGTTTACTCTTGTGCGCTCGAGCGCGTTCAGCGACTAAGTCCCGTAATACGCGAACTTTGCGACCGCGTAACTCCCGTATCTTTCGAGCATCTAATTCGAGACTCTGCATCTGAATACTACAACGTATGACAAGTGTTTTACACCGATCGATTACACTGCGTAACTCCCGTATCGTGGTTATTAGGTGCTCGAACGATACGAGTTACGCGGTCGCAAAGTTTGCGTATGACAAGTTGTAGCCGCTTCAGCGCACAAGAGTAAACGCGGTTACAAAAATTAGATGCTCAATCGATGGAAGCGTTAAAACATTCGTCATACGTTGTAGTATTCGAATGCAGAGAATAAAGTGCTTTTACAATATGCTATACTTAATACAGAAATATAACATATAATAAGTTTTTGCAAATAGCACGTATTGGCGACTCTTAGATTCGCGAATTTAAAGCTGATTGTAAAGTAATAAACTGTCTGTCTTCTAATTGGAAACTTGTATATTTTAATAATGGAACACACAACAAGTTCGTTGACGTATATTTCGTTCGAGCATCTAATGATTTTAACTAGTACGCGGATTTTGTGTAGCTTGTATCGCTCAATGACTAAGATCATAGACAAGAATAATTTTTGGTAAAATAATTAGATGTTTGAACGGAATGAACTTCAAACGACGTGTTGTGTGTTATGTTGTTCAGATAAAAGTCGCAAAGTAGGCTTTCAAACGCGATTTGTGTAGATATCGACTTTAATCTCACGACTTTGAAAGTCGCGAATAAGTAGTATGAAAAAGTACTAATTGTTATATTTCTGTAGTAAGTGTTGCATATTGTGAAAGCACTTAATTAGAATGTTGAGGTTTGGAAGATTTTTTAACCAAAAATATAATTTTTTAATTTGGGGAGGGGCATCTTGACGTTAAGTCAGCCCCCCCCACTTTAATGTCAATTTTTTGCCAAACGACTTGTGCATAAAAGTTTTTAATTAGGCACCTATTTAGCACTTAAATAGCACCTAATTTTGATGTAGAATTTGTTACTGAAAATATAAGTTTTTAATATGGGGAGGGCCAGCTTAACGTTAACTCAGCCCCCCCCCCACTTTAATTTTAATTTTCTGTCAAACGACTGGAGCACCAAATTTTTTAATTGGGCACCTAATTAACACCTAATTAGGACTTAATTTTTATATAAATTTGATAGTGATTTTCTAAAGAGGGGCTAACTTAATGGACATATAAAGTGCATACGACTGGTGTTTCGAACGCAATCCAGCGCTTGTGTTTGCGCTTGAGTATGCGTGGTACTAAGCTTTTATTCAATGAGCTAACTTCAGCATTCTCCTCATCCATTTTTGCCCCATTCTTGCCTATTATTCATTGTACTTATACATACTATTAACATTTTTATATAAATAAATACTAGAAGATATGATCGGAAGAAAGTGTCGTAGCTTAGGAGTGTTATATTAATCATATTCTTATCCATACATGGCCAAATAACCTACTTCTATGGAATATATGGCAAAAATGCAAGGTATTTTAAAAGTTTTTTTTAAGATATAAAAAAGATTTTGTATTCATAATTTATTATTTGTAATTTTATAGTAAAACACAATATAAAGTTTTTATTGATATAGTTCATTTGTCTTTAAGGACGTTCTCCGACTACAGTGATTAGCAACCTAAATACAGTGGTTAGCAACCTAAAATATCTCTTCTCATGAGTAAGTTTGTACTGCTGTAACAAAGTTAAGTTGTGTGTGTGTGTGTGTGTGCGCGCGTGTGCGTGTGCGTGTGCGTGTGCGTGCGTGCGTGCGTGCGTGCGTGCGTGTGTGTGTGTGTGTGTGTGTGTGAGCTATTCAGCACTGCTAAGACCCGCTTACTCTGCGCAGAAGTTCAAAAATAGCTGCAGTACACAGCGCACATAAATCCAGCAAAACAAAAAAAAAAAAAGCTACAAAAGTTTGAAAAAAACGGTTGCTTGCCATATTATTCAAAATCGTATTTTAATTAGGACACTCTCCACTACCACATACTTGTTTTTTAAAAAAATCCTAAGAAAATTGTCGTCTGTAATTTTGAAAAACCCCACTTCACAAAGGCTCAGCATAGGAAATCCATGTTAAAAATGGAAATATAAATCTTCCATATTTTGGAATTTAACATTGCTACCCCTATTATCCAAAAAGGTTACGTATAAATAAAATCATAAACTATGTATATCGCAAATTTAAAGAAAATCCTAAGAAAATCAATAATTCAAAGAACGTCCTTAACATTGTAAATACTATCTGATAAATTAAGTTTTCGATAACTGCGGCTCAACCGGTTACCCTATATATCGGCGGATATACATACCGTGTGGTGGGGAAGCACGACTATGTTCTGACGGACTGTGAGGACTGTGCGGAGAGTGCGACCGCGGCATGTAAATGCCGTGAGATCCCGGGTACCCAGGCTGCGGCGGATACCCAAGATACGGATCATAATGGTCAAAACTGACCATGTACGGATCCGCGGAGTAGCGCGGATCTGCATGTTGATATTCCTGCGACATCAGCGGCACCGACATATAGCTGACTGCTCCTGGATCTGGCTCCATGTGGGAAACCTCACGCACTACTTTCGTCACGGTCGTTACCTAAAAAAAAGAGAATCAAATCAGGCTGATAAAAATATCTTTGGTAAACACTGTAATTTACAAATTGCGCAAGAGAGAATTGCGGGATTTTCGGATAGAAAATATATGTATATTAATAATATCTCACTTGTTGAGAAGTCTGTTGCTTGTGAGTTCGAATAAGCAGAGGATCTTCCTGGACAGACAAGTGAGATGAATGCAACGAATGGGTGTCCGCCTGCCCGTTACTCCCATGGTAATCCGTGTCGCTTTGTCCGCTGCGGCAGATGAATCGGAGAAATAAGAAATCGCGCCGCGGAAGTGCATTTAACTTATAATAATAACAACAACAACAACAACAACAACAACAACAACAACAACAACAACAACAATGATAATAATGCAACACAGCATGATACCAGAAATTACTATAATTAGAGACGCTTACGTGTATTGTGGCATATCGGGAGCTTTCTCCTGTAGGACGCGTCTGAAAACGAATTTCTCTTTGAGATTTATTACATCTTCCGGAAAGATGAGAATTTGGAAATAATAACAGTAAATACTTGAAAATATTCTTATTTAAAAGAAGATAACACAGTACTTTCAAGATACACTACTAAAAAGCTACGCAAAGTTTACAAAATATCACAGGACGTCTAGTAATTGGAGAGAATAATCAGGCATTTTCTTGAGAACATTTTTAAAGATTATAAGCAAATAAACAGATAGTGAAGGTCTAGACTCGAGCAAATGTGTGGTTGGAAAATATATTTACAAATATTTCAAAATTACATTTTACAAACAAACGAAACGTTTCGTCTTTTACTTGAGACTTCTTCAGTCGTAAAAGATTACAATAATAAAAAGATTACGCAATAAGAAAATAGAAAAAAATGTAACAATAATATAAAACTAATTAGACAATCATAATCACGCTGATGTTAGAAATATTGTTGTTAAAAATATGTATAGATTCTGCTCTCGCAAGACCCGTGCTTCAATAATAAAAGAAAGTTATACATTACAGTTGTCATGATAGTTAAGAGTCCTGGAATAGCACACACAATTGAGAGAGAGAAGGCGCAAACAACATAAATCGTTACAAAACAATTATATGACTTACAATGTATTAATGTTATGAGTCGACTAATGCGTGAAGACCAGAGGCAGGCATTTATATGTTTATCCCTACCAAAGATGATTTGGTAGAGATGGATAACGTCTCGATTTTAGACCGTGAACCGAATTATTTTAGGCGACTAACATCTGAGATGATTTACATCAAAAAACAAACTCATGGTCTAAATGATTGATCTAAATGATCTAAATAATCTTGATTAATGATTTAGAGATGCTCAATAATAATGAAGCACGGGCCTTGCGAGAGCAGAATCTATACATATTTTTAACAACAATATTTCTAATATCAGCGTGATTATGATTGTCTAATTAGTTTTATATTATTGTTACATTTTTTTCTATTTTCTTCTTGCGTAATCTTTTTATTATTGTAATCTTTTACGACTGAAGAAGTCTCAAGTAAGAGACGAAACGTTTTGTTTGTTTGTAAGATGTAATTTTGAAATATTTGTAAATATATTTTCCAGCCACACATTTGCTCGAGTCTAGACCTTCACTATATCTGTTTATTGTTATTGCGAGCGTGATTTATCTTTCTTTGTTATAAGCAAATAGTTCGTATCTTATTTTCAGTTTTTACTTTAAAACGACAAAAATGTAACAATATTTCGATCGATATATCCTTAAGGCATTTGTATAAACATTTACCAGCTGAGAAACAGCGCAAGCAACGTACATATAATGATGAATGAGAAACAAGGCGAGATGCTAGAAAAGGCGTTGCTTGAACTTTGAAATTATGTTCTTTAACCGATCTAAAAAATATTGGATATCCCTCTTTTGAAAAGTGACTTGAATAATACTCGTGGTTTCTAACGTTAAATTAATCCCGCTGACTTAAGTTGAGAGTAAAATAAATATTACGAAGTAAAAATAAACTAAATATAAAAATAAATAGCATAATTTTATTTTAAAAAGCAACACTCAAATCGGTCAAACAATACTGTCTGTAAAGAATATGTAAATTACATACGAGGACTACGTAATACTACACAAGAACAGCAAACTCTACTCTAAGTTGAGCAATGTCAGTGTACGCGATTGATGCGTGATGTAAGGCATACGAAAAATGGAAAACTGTGGATAATATATATATATATATATATTATGCACAGTTTTCCATTTTTCGTATGCCTTACATCACGCATCAATCGCGTACACTGACATTGCTCAACTTAGAGTAGAGTTTGCTGTTCTTGTGTAGT